ATCCGTCCTCATCTGGTGAGATCGACCAACGAATCTCTTCTTCATTCACTTTTATACGAAATGAAGGTCCCTCTAACAACGTATCCAAATAAAACGAGTAGAAAAAAAATGAACAGGATCTATCCGTCATTGGAATCAGTCTCAAGGTGGCAGTCGGCTGAATATAGTGTGACTAGGCGTAATGTACAAAAAGGAAATGTTGATAATTATCATTGTAGTATATATAGTGTTAGCTTGACCTCGTTTTCGCAATTAGGCACCTTTCCTGTATTTGTGCACGGTGAATTATCGTAAAGCATGGTGTCCTGCTTTGACAGTGTCCGCCCCATGATGGAGGCAAGCTCAGCAAGGATCCATCGGGTTCGAATGGCGGTGCGTAGAGGACTTATTTGCACAAAGCTACAATCACAGATGCAAGGCAATCCACCTACAGATTCCAATGAGGCCAATTTACGAATCCCTTACTCTCGCCTCTTCAAACGAAATGCAAGGTACTCCAATATCAATCGTCAAGTGAGTCCATATATTAACCAGCCCTATGACAAATTATGCATGCACTTAGTGAACTAGGCTGTGTCGTGTGAAATGAAATAAGATATCAAGATTAAATGAAACTTTCGAAGTCTACTTTATATTAATATAAGTGTGTGGCAGATTGTAATGGCAAAATACAAGTTTGTAGAAAAACCTGGTTTCGAGTTTTTATGTTTTGAAGAATTATCATGAACCATGGTGTTCTATTCTGAATGTTTACGTCCCACGACGGACGAAGGCTCAGCAAGGGTTAATTGGGGTTGCAGGGCGTTGCGCCGAGAACTTATTCACACAAATCTACAGTCATAGTTCCGAGGTAATCCCTCTTCAGCTTTCGGTGAGGCCAACCTAATAATCCTTTCCACTCGCCGCTTCAAACGGAATGAAAGGTACTCCAACACCAGCATACAAGTTTGTCTCATCGACACTCCAGCTGAAAATGTGATACAGGAGAAGCCTGGCCCGTCTAGAAAGTCACGTCCGCCACGTGACTAACGAGCACTCGTGACAACATGGTGTAGTGATGAAATGTCAAAATTGCATTGCAGGTTCGATTCCCGCTGAAACTAATGATGAAACCCAGGCACTTAAGTACGTTTAGGAAGCAAGGCTAATTGAATTGCCATGAAAACGTGAGGCCTACTCATATCAAAAATCAGCCTCTTATTACCTTATGCGATCTGGGGTGACTAGAACTCGTATATAAGATTTTCTTCCTATGGATACATGAATCAGACCCACCCTAAAGTATTGGATATAAGCTCAGAGATAAAACCCGAAGCGAAATGACAGCGCTGATGAAAGCAACCCGACAGACAGGCAAACGAAATGTGTGGTACTCCAAACGGTCAGAATACGTGCAACTCTGGGTGAGGTAGTCACATCGATTGGTAGGAACATTAGGGTGCAGTGCCGGCGACCATTGGTTGGCATGGATGTGGTTTCTGATTGGCTGGGAAGTATAACAAGAAAAAGCGAGAACGAGGGAGAGAGGGAGAATGGAGGGAAGGAACGAGGAAGAAGAGCGAGCGCGCCAGAGGATCGCCAACAGGTGACGGACTATTGATGCAAGGAAAGAGAGAGAAGTAAAGCGTTAAGTACAAAGAAGCAGCAACAAATCGGATACGTACAACATAATAAACACACACACACACATACACACACATACACACGCATGCAGACACACACACGTGCTCGCAAGCATCCCAACATAGGACACCAACATACAGAGAATGGAGACCAGGTCAAGCCCGAAAGGCAAATGGATGAGACTGTGACGAGAGGACAAGCCTGGGCAATGAGAATCAAGAGGACGGGTGGATAAAAGCTTTTGCACAGCCGGTCGGCCGGACAAAAGGTTGCGAAGCACGAGGACCGGTGGCGTATGCGAACTCGGCATCGTCAGGGATTATGAGATGGCCGCCGGCGAAGTGTGCACAAGACTCTGGTTGACGTGGACAGCGCTCGTGTGGACCCTGTTGACGGGCTCCGGGGTCGTGGCGCACAGGCCCGGCTCCACCGTCGAGGATTACGTCCCCCCAGCCCAGACCTACGCCCTGATCGGGCAGGATGCTGCACCACTTCTCGGCTGTCAGTTAAGGCTGTGGCCGCGGTTGCGATTACACCCGGCCCGGACGGTGGCCACCCACAAGGTGGCCACAACCAGCGACAACCTGCCCGACCAGCCAGTGCTGATTGTCAACGAAGTGCTGGAGGTGGGGCTCGAGTGCACGTGTTGCCACGACCTGCAGAACCTGAGTCGAGCGGCTCACCAAGCCGTGTTGAAGGGTCTCGGCGGAAAGGACGAAGAGACGGAGGGTCAGAGGTCGGCTGGAATGTTGGTCTATCGAGTGGTCTCGACGAATCGGTTCGCAGTGATCCCCTCAGACACCAGTACGCTGGACATCAGCGAACGCCGGCGTTATGACACCGCCGGCGACACTTCGGCCCGTCTGCCAGAGTGTGCCCTTCATCCTCGTTGTGTCGTCCTCTACCGCGAGGTCCGAAACTCACCGGACTCGAACCAGACCCAGCCGGCGGCCATCTACCTGGACGCTAACACCCTGGGACGCAGCCGGGTGAGCATAGACCTGATCTGGGTGAACGCATCGCGCCGCGAAGACAAGGGCGGTGGACGACCCGAGGATATTCCGGCGCCTCCCTTCTTCTTTAGGGACTATCAGGGCAGCGGAGAGCCGCCGCCCAAGGCGGTGGAGCTGCGCCGATGGCTGGTCGCCAGGGGCCAGGTTTTCAAGCCCAACTGGACGGCCGACTACGTAGCGACCCGGGAGACGGACGTCCTGGACGCCCGGGCCTGGCTGCAGGCAGGCAAGTCGGGCGTCTGGCACGATGGTATGCGAGTGACAGTGCTGCTGAAGACGATGATCTTCTACACCGCGTTCGACTGGAGCTCCGTTTTTGTCGCCTGCATGGTCACCATCTCAATTGGCTGTTGCACCAACCCGATCAAGCTCCGAGAGTTGATACAGAAACCAGCAGGCCTCATCGCAGGCGCGATATTCCAGATTATCGTCATCCCACTCGTAAGTGATACCATCGAATCTGAATAGAACCCCGGAAATATAGCCTTTTGCTCTGATGCTAAGGCCTACCGATGTGCTCCAGAAGCCAAGAAGGAGAACGCTACGTGAGGGCTCATGGCGGCAATTATAAATGTACTCCAAAATGGAGTGTGGTCCCCGCCCAAGTAACTCAACTTATTGGCATGTTTTGTGCATAAAACGCAAAGCCACGGGCGCTAGCTTCTGGATGGAGAGTAACAGCATCGCGAAAAGAATAAAAGGCCTAATGAAGTCCAACAGCGGTACGACAAAGGAAAACCTATCGTCTGTCGATGAAGTGAGGTCTAGGAAAGTCTTTCATCACGATAAATTTGTCACAACCCTAGAGGAAGCCGGAATTGCCAGGGATAGGCAACAACGCTAATGGTCATGAAAAAATAATAGAAAGGAGAAATACGAGATTCCTGAAAAAGAGGATTGGTCCAGACCCACTAAAAAGAGGGGCTTAGTATTTCCATAAGTAGATGCTGAAGGATTGACAGTTAAATTTGTCCACAATCATATAAGCAGGCCTCATCGTTTGAGGAATTTCACAGTCTTGCTGCCCACAAGGTAAGCTTATCCAGGCTGGACGACAGTTTCGACGCAACGGGAATGGTAGACATTATACGTTACACTGCCACAATTCGAGTCCCATCTGGTGGGTGGTGACGAGACGGAACTACAGTCCACTCTGGCAAGGATGCGCATACCTTTTGGGAAGCAGGAATGACTGAAGCTCCTATTTAAGGAGTTTGGGTATAGCAGTATGTAAAATTGAAGGAAGATTAGATGAAATGGAGACACACGAGCTACTTTCTCAGATTTTTGCGGGGATTTAAAATGTACCCTGCATACCCGAGAACAGCCAGTAGAATTTCAAATACCCTTGCGAGGTAAAATTCACATGTCTACTGGTAGTCTCGAAAACCTACTTATTAACGAAAAAAGTACATTAAATTTGGCCTCCAAGTCATACTAGCTCTAGATACTCTCAACCTTTCTGAGCCTTTCGTTCGTCCAGTTCATGGTCATTTATCCGGCCCACGTGAGTAGCATTTGTCCGCCAGTAAAGCCCGACACACAGAAAACCGATGTCATCTGCCTTCCAGTCTTGCTTGCTCCTACGGAGCGGAGACGAATTAACCGCCATCAGCTAGGGCTGTCCATGATGACTCGAGGAAGATAGTTGAATGGCATGAAACCCAAGAGTGATTTCTTCTTCAGCATAGGGTGTAGCTATTATTCCGACAAGGTCCTGTCAACACGCCCAGCGGAGCTTGAAATTGGGCCAAGTATGCTAAAAGACGAGTACAGTGTTTACTTGGCCAGACGTTCAGGTAGCGCATCTGTTTTGAAGAAAGCCTGACTTGAGTTAATGAAGCAGTGGAACATGAGAGTAAGTCAAGACAATATACTCGATAAGCAAGTACGCCGTGATAAAAGTGGACGTTGAAGCCAAGGCTTCCCTGCAACTTATTAGCAGCTCATTACCACATTGCTTGGCTTAGAGCCCATAGTAATCAAAAGTTTCGAAATAATCT